TATTATACAAGTCTTATAAAATGTCTCTAAGAGAAGCCCAATGACAATTGTTTTCCAGTGAGTTATGAGGCTTCTAAATGAAATGCTCCCTGATTAACCCTGAGTGGTGTGTGTTTATTGATGATCTAATGGTTTCAGAAAGGCAGATGGTATGAATGCAAATAAAATAATAAGTCCAGATTTAGCTGCAACTCTTGTGATGTGGCCTAGTTTAGTGTTTCACAAAATTTAATGTGCCTCTGGGGAGATTGCTAAAATGCAAAATCTGCTTCAATAGATCCAAGTGGGGACTGAGATTTTACATTTCTATAATAAGCTCCCAGGCCACGCTTATGCTGCTTGTCAGAGACCATGCTCTGAGTAGTAAGGACACTAGATCAATCTGTTTCACCTAACTTTGAGCAATCATATGGAAAAGGATCGTATTACCAGGGGGGTCATATTCTTTTCTCTCTTTCAGATTTGTGATGGATGTTAGCACCAAAATAAGTACATAGTAAGGAAACAAACTCTTTTTTTTTATTGTCACACACACACACACACACACACACACACACACACACACACCATGAAATGTACCCCTTAAAATTAAGTATCCAGTACAGTAATATTAACTCTAAATATTGCACAAATCTAAAAATATTGCACAAATCTCCAGAGCTTTTTGTCTTGTATAACTGTAACTTAGTACTCATTGAACAGCAACTCCCCACTTCTCTCTCTTCATGATCCATTGCTTGGAGCATGCTTCAGTAATGACCTTAGATAAGACTGTAATACTTACTGAGAGAAGGTTAATTCTTACCAGATCTGCTGTCAGTAGTTGAATGCTTTGTTAGGACATAGTCATGATTACCAAGTTTGTAGTAACACAGAAAAGTGAATATTTGTGAGATTTTAAAATGAAATTAAAACTGAAAGTAAATATTTTGACATCATAGGCAATTCAGGATGGAAGAATGGAGAATAGCCTTTATATTCAGATAAATATAAATTTGATTCCCAACTTTGCTTCTTCAATGACTTGCTCTAATCAACCCAACTAAAGTGTTGAACGTTTCTAAACCTCATTTTCTTTATCTGAAAAATGTTTATTGTAATATTATGATTATACGATTTTAATAACAATTAATTAAAACAGTGCCTTGTCAAGAGTAGGTGCTCAATAAATCAATAAATTGGAACTCTTTTATAATTATCAGTAATAAAGGTGAATTCCACAAATAATGGGTTTCTATTACTTCTTAGACTCTGCTTGGACTAGGCCCTCAGTAAATAATATAAGGTAATATAAAAACTACTCTGTGATTAAAATCAGGTTTTGACATGCTTTATGAGCTCTTTTTATATGGATTTTTTATAATATGCTTTCAAAATTATTGGCAGATTTACTCTGTGTCTGTACTTCAAGCTGGATAATGGAAAATGATTTATACAGTTTTATTGAATTTACAAGGGTTAGAGTAAGCAACATTAATTATTGCTATGTCATTCTTGCAGGCTCTCAGGAAGTGAGACAAAACAGAAGCCAAACTAAATGTAATTAGCATTAAAATGACTCAAGCATGAAAAATAATCGAATGGGTCCTGAAGTGTCTTATTCTTGTCAACAAAAGAAGATCATACTTGTTTGCAAAACATTCATTTTAATTGCTTTTTCCCCACCATGTGAAATATGAGAGGTGTTTTTGGTCCTTATCATATTTCTCAAATAACATTTTTGTTTTTGACATCACAACCTACACTGTCATAAATAATTAACCCGACTTTTACAACTAGGTGATGTTGGCTGAGAATCTTACAGGATGAATGCCAGTTGCCCATCTCCCAAAAAAGTCATCACTTTTTCTTTTCCAACGTGTATTATTTAATGTAAATAAATAGTCTGATCAGTGTATTCTCTTTGGAGCATAAATTGAAAGTTTGGTGAGTTGGGGGTTGAATTTAACATGCAAGTATTCCCAAGAAAGAGATATTTTACATGGGAATCCCATCCAAATTCTCCTCACTAGACAGGGGTGAGCAGTGGAAATATTTACCACTGACCCAAAACTGTAAGACGTGAGCCCAAAATATGAGATGACAGGCAGAAAGAAGAAAGTCTTGGAAAAGAGAGGGGAAAGAAATTGAAAGTCTTATGAGTAGAAATATAGGGAAAGTCCCAGAAACGTCAAGGGAGTGGGGTAAAGTAGATAATGATAGACACAGATTAGTGTTTTGCTTTGAAGAGCAAGAGGTCTGCTATGTGGTATAAATTGAGAGGTGCCAAGTAGGGAAAGTGGAGACTATTTTCCCTGGATGTCTACTGGGATTCATTTTTTCTAATTACAATGAGACAACCTGCTCAGTGTATTTCTGTAAGGAAGAAGCGAGATCAGGCAGAATCAGAATCAAAGAGCCACAGACAAAGGATTCTTAGAATCACAGGCCTATTCCAGAAAATCTAGGCCTCCTTTGGTTACATCAGAGCTGATATTCCCAGGTACATATTCTTTTGGATCTATTATTTGTAAATTTATCAAAATACTTTTATACTGTTTGGTAAAAAGCTGATGCCAGAGTGATCCATGTTGTGTTCCCTTTACATGCATACCCAGTTTCTTCCCTGGGTACTTCCAAATTCTTAAAATCGGGCAAGTAAAGGAGTTAATGTCAGGTGTAGCAGGTTGCTCCAGGATACTACAGCTTATGGCTGGTATAAATTTTAACACATAAGTAATTGTGCCAAAACAGTTTGGCTATCACCCTTGGGAGAAGTATATTACTTATGGATGTTTGAAATAATAGGGTTTCAGACACAAATAAGATGCTCTGAGATATGAGAATGGAACAGAAACTACCCAAAGCACAATTTTGTCTATTTTAGAGTCCAACTGAGGTCCTTCTAACTTGGTATGGCAATATCATTAAAATGAAGTCTAATGTGGAAGCATTTCTCTATTCATGAACATAGACTACAGTTATAGGAAGGATAAAAACAAAATAATTATAATCTTTTTTTTCCTGTTGTCCTGTCAGAACCATTTATACATAAAATATAAATCATTCATTTTTTTATCCATCAGAATTTCATTTCTGTCTACTTTCAAAATCAATATTCCTCACCTCATCTCCTGTCACTTTCTGATTTAATAAACAAAAAAATCCAGGGCTGTAACCATATTTGGACTTGATGGGCTCCTTCATGACAAGATGCATTGGAACCTTGCTACCTTTCTTCCTGAAATGCCGGTCACATTTATTACACCAGTGACACTTAAGGTTCAGATCAAATGACATCTCCAGTGCACATTCTCTGCACATGTGAACTATCACCTAATGTAGTCATCTACAAACATATGTCAAATGAAGTATTTGAGACAAACTTTTTATAACTTTTCCAAACTTGAAAGAAGATGAGGTAAATTGTAATATACTTGCCACATTCCATTAAAAGAAATATTGCCTCTAAAGGATTTAATAAGAAAAGATAATTATCAAAGTGAGAAATTAAACTGTCCTACCTTATTATTCTAAACAGTTTTAAGTGAACTTTGGATGAAAACTCCTATTTCATCCCAGTTATTTCTTTTTCATATGTAATTGTCAAAGTTTCCATATCTATATTTGCACTTCTGGATAAAATGATGTATATAACTATTCAAGCTCTAATTCTATACAGATGCCCCTCTGGAGAATACCATTAAATTAATTATAACACATTTAACAATTGTATAAGCTTTGTTTCCTTTCATAATATAAAAAATTAATTAAGGAGTATATAAGATAGTAATTTTGTCACCATAGGTCTCCGTTTTCCTTAAATCAAAATAGTTTAAATTGACACTTAAATTTTATGTAGTGTATTTTTATTAAAGAATAAAGGGGTATATTTTCAAATATAGTGAAATTAATGTGTAATCATCAAATTAGCAGCCATGTTTTAGATATTTTCATGTATAGGAAAGATATTTGATCTTGTATTATAGACATACTGTGTATAAAGAATCACAATTTTATAGGGGATGATATTTAATCTAGTCTGTTTGTCAGCTTACATTTAGCAAGAAAGTTAACACATAGACAAAAAAGTTGATAAATTTTTATAAAATAATTAATTTTCTTACACAGAAAATTCTAAGTAATGGGCATTATTGTGAGTGCCTTGGATAACCATATGACTTGGTAAATACACACAACAACACCATGAGTTAAGTGTCATTATCCTGATTTTACAGATGAGAAAACTGAGGCACAGAGATGATAAGTGACTTGGCCCAAGGTCATGAGATAGTGAGTGATCTGGGATTAAAAGCCAAGAAGTATGGATCCAAAATCTGTCTAACTAACTTCTAGGCTACGTGTCAGTGTCAGATATAAAAGGAATAGAATTCCTTCCATCAGAAATGATGACTGCTAAGGGAAGGTTTCATATAGCAAGGGGAACTAAAACAGGGCTGTGAAGAATGAGAAACAAATGGGGTTAATAGAGTAAGTGTGTGGCTGAAAAGGGAAAGGGAGGTAGCCATAAGGAGAGAAGTTGCAAAAACATAGAAATAAAGGTAGGAAAGCACAACACACATATTCAAGGGATTATAGACAGAGCAGTTAGGAAAGGAGTTTTTATTTAGAATTCTTTAATATGACTAGATGAATATATTCCAAGTGATTTGCTGGATATTATTTGATACATTATATCATTACTTCCATTAAAATAGAATTCACCTTTAAATTCATTTTCTACACAGATTAGTTCCAATTTTGACAATTGTGTGTGTTTATCTTAAATGTCAATCTGTTACTAGTCTTGTGATACTTTTTTCTCACAGACTTCACCCATTATAATAAGATATTATCATGTCAGGAGTTTGCCTGTTACTCAAAGAGGACATTTTTAAAATGAATATATATTATATGTAATATATATATAATTTGGACACAAAAACTTCCTGGTAAATTTCCTAGATAAGAATGCAAAAATCAAAAAGCAGCAGTTTATATCACTCTGTATTCTCTTTCAGGTAAACCAGTGATGATAGTGACAGAATATATGGAAAATGGCTCTTTAGATACATTTTTAAAGGTAGGATTTGGGACTAGTTATTGAAAGTGTTATTTGTACATTGGCTGTGACAGTGAAGTGGAAATCGTGCCACTTTAAAACTTTAAAGTTTAAAATTTTAAGTGTAGAGTTTAAAGTTTAAAACTTCAGAGTTTTAAATGGAATAGAAATACATGAAATCAATAATTATACTCCAGAATTAACTTTGGTTTGAAAATTGTCTTTTACTGAAAACTTACACAAATTATATGCCCCTACTATTTTAATTATGTGTTAATTGGGAATAAATAAAAATAAAAAAGGAATGGAAGAAGAAAAAAGAGAAGAAAAGGAAAAAAAAGAAGGGAAAATGGAACAAAATCTTACAACTACTGAAATTTCTCAAAATACATAGTATCAGGCAGAGCAAGAAAAAATGTCTAAAGGAGCCAGGTAAATAATTATGAAGGTGTCATGTGGTAGTCTATAAATGCTTATAGTCTACTTGCCAGCCAGTCATTATTTGCACCAATGAATCAGTCACGTGGTAATTAACAATAGTCAATATTGTCAGATCATCTGGGTTTCAGGAAAAGATTGTTCAATGTGCAAATCTCCCAATTTTAAATGTTGACAACTCACTTTATTGAGAAATAGCTTGTGTTAGATAGTGTAACATATTTTCAGGCCTGATGAAACCTATAGGCTGGCTTTTTGTAACTTCAGCATAGTGACTATTGCTTTTGATCAGGAAAAGTGATAGGACAATGACATTTATGATGGCCATTATAAGAAGGGCCTATGCAATGAATATGATAATGGTCCACTAATCAGCCAAAGTTTCCTTCTCATCTCCAGCCTCTACCAGATTCTGTTGCCAAATGTTTGATCCATACCTTCAAGTTCTCTAGTCTCTTACAGTCCTATCATTAATTTATTTCAAAATAATTATTGGTTGATCCCTATGAGTCTGTGTGACTGCATTAAGTTCCCTTGATGGAGACAATAAACTTCCAAGAATTGCTAACATTGTCCTGGTCATCGCTCAGTCATCACTGCCCTTCTGCTGCTACAGAAACTCCTGTATCTATTTCCTCTGGCCATTGTATGTTTACTTTAATATGGCTATCCAGCTAGCATCACCTCGAAATATACACAGTATTGACCCAAGGCAGGTACTAGGCTGAAGTAATGAACAAACTCTCTGATGACTGAGAATAAAGGAGTTACAACGCAGAAAAGAGCACTAAATGAAATTTTTGACAAGAGCTTTCAAAGCCTTTATCTGCTTTGACCAGACAGCAGAGAGATAAACATTACCAAGTTAGCTATATATTTTCTAACATTTTCCATTCTCCCTCAGCTAGAAACTACATATGAATTTTAATGAGTGATATTATTAATTTGAGAATTGAAGGGAGATTTTTTTTTTCATATTTTCCCCCAGCGATTGGTGTTGCTATAATAATATTTCTACATTGTCTTTACAGAAAAACGACGGGCAGTTCACTGTGATTCAGCTTGTTGGCATGCTGAGAGGCATCGCTGCGGGAATGAAGTACCTTTCCGACATGGGCTATGTGCATAGAGACCTTGCTGCTAGAAACATCTTAATCAACAGTAACCTTGTGTGCAAAGTGTCTGACTTTGGACTTTCCAGGGTACTGGAAGATGATCCTGAGGCAGCCTATACCACAAGGGTAAGATCTAACAGAATGTACTTCTGAAACACTAGACTAGAGGCATTGAATTTTTTAAGATTTTAAAGCAAATAGCAAAAGAGAATTCCTATACCAAAGTCAGGAAGAGAGAGAAAGGATATTAAAAGTCCAGATAATTCTCCTTTCTATGGATCAGCAAATTCAAATATTAAAATCAGATTTAAAAATATATATATATTATTCTCCTGCCAGCCATGGTGGTTCACACCTGCAACCCCAGCATTCTAGGAGGCTGAGGCAGAAAGATCTGTTGAGCTCAAGAGTTCAAGACCAGCCTAAGCAGGAGTGAGACCCTGTCTCTACTAAAAATAGAAATCAGAGTTACACTTAATAAACTTGGCCTACGCAAGATTGAAGTTATAGAAAAGTCTTTTGCCAGTGTGATTGGTTGGCATCTTAGTTAAGTGCAAAAAGTCGATTTTTCAAGGTTTGTGTCAATGTGTCATGCTACAGCAGTGATCCCCAACCGTTTTGGCACCAGGGACCAGTTTCATAGAAGACAACTTTTCCAGGGACTGGAGGTGGAGGGCATGGTTCCAGGACGATTCAAGCACATTATGTTTATTGCACAGTCAAACCTCTCTGCTAATGATAATCGGTATTTGTAGCCACTCCCCAGCGCTAGCATCACCGCCTCAGCTCCCCCTCAGATCGTCAGGCATTAGAGTCTCCTAGGGAACCTGGATCCTGCACATGCACAGTTTACAGTAGGGTTCAAGTTCTTATGAGAATCTACCCCCACCCCCAATCTGACAGGAGGTGGAGCTTATGCAGTGATGTGAGCAGTGGGAAGGGGCTGTAAATACAGATGAAGTCACTTTGCTTGCCTGCTGCTCACCTCCTGCTGTGGCCCTGGGTTGGGGACCTCAGAGGAACAGGGTTACCTGAGACAGAGATCCTGAGACCCCCCAGTACTTACTCCTCTGAAGTGGGGTGTGGTGGCATTTTGTGGAAAATCTACACGAAAGACAAGAAGATAAGGGAATTTCAAATAAAATTAATGACACTTGCGATGGCCAGAGGATCAGGAGAAAAATTATGGGCTAAAGTTTAATATAATCAACAAAGGACAATTCTGAGAGAATTGTAGAACATCTATGCATAACTAGGCCTCATCATGTGACCTTACCTAGGAATATCTAATTAACAAAAATAAGTTTCAGGAAAGTCTTCTTCAAATGGTGTTACCATATATCTAAAGAGCAAATAATGCAAACCTTACTTTACCTCTCAGAATAATTTCAAACATGACCCCATATTATTATTTCTTTATATATCTTGAAACTTTTGTTAATAAACAGCAATTTAAATCCTAGTTTTTCCCCTAGTATGTGGATTAAATCATTCCCTTCCTGCAAAAATGGAAGGCATACATCAATATTTTTATAAGAAAGTATTCAAAATCTTCACCTCTCTTTCTCTTGATATATATTTGCTTATAGACAAAATATTTGGTTATATATGCCTGCCTGCTTTTAAAAATTAAGCAAAAAATAATTTCACCCTGAAGGAGGCAGGATATAAATGTTCTTATTGTGTTTACTAAGAGAGAACATACCAAATAATTTATTTTTTATTTGTTTGGTTTTGGGTTTTTTTGAGCCCGAGTCTCACTTTGTCTCCCAGGCTGAAGTGTAGTGACGTGATCTTTGCTCACTGCAGCCTGGAACTCTGGGCTCAAGCGATCCTCCCACCTCAGTCTCCTAAGTAGCTGGGACTACAGGCATGCACTACCACATGCAGTTATTTTTTTTAAAAAAATTATTTTTAGAGACAAGGTCTCACTATGTTGCCCAGATTGGTCTTGAACTCCTGACCTCATGCAATCTTCCCACCCCAGCCTCCCAAAGTACTAGGAGTACAGATGTACTCCCATCATGTACCACCATGCCCAGCCCAAATTAATTTTATACCATGTAAAAAAACCTCTAAACTTGATAATGTGGTAAGTTTTTCCCTATAATCCAATTTCAATAATTTTTAATTTGGTTGAGTTATACAGATACCCTCTTAAATTGAACAGTCTTACCAAATAAATACATGCTAACAGAAAAAAAAGAGAAAACAAGTCTAGAAGAAATAACACAACATTGAGGGAAAGTATAACTTTAAGTTTGTAATCTATCTGGTTTTCATGTTTGTGTCATTAACTATTAAGCTTCTCTGGATTGCATTCTGCAACCTAGAATTTCCATTTACAGTTTGTGCATTTAAAAAAAAAAAAAAGGCACCCAGGGAATTTGAGTCCTTTACTCTCTGTTAGAAAGTCATGAGAGTATACCTTATTGATTTGCTTGACTGCCTGCTTTCCCTTACTTAGAGCTGCCATCCTGAGTACTGTAATTGAGATGTGGATCCTATATGTATCCCCATAGTCAAACAGAATTTAAACTAGAAACTTTCCGGACAGCCAATTAGCAGTTAGTCTACAAGTGCTTATGGGCTGAGAATTGTGAAAAGAGACCTCATGCTGTCAAAGATTCACTTAAAAATGCTATATCTCTTTCTAGATGTTTTCAGCATGACAATGATATCCCTAGATACATTTGAAGTAGGTGGGGATATTTTTAATTCTTTTTCAATTTTAGGGAGGCAAAATTCCAATCAGATGGACGGCCCCAGAAGCAATAGCTTTCCGAAAGTTTACCTCTGCCAGTGATGTGTGGAGTTATGGCATAGTAATGTGGGAAGTTGTATCTTATGGAGAGAGACCCTACTGGGAGATGACCAATCAAGATGTGAGTATGGGACTGTTCTTTCTCATGTCGAAAATGAAATACTTTGTTCTCTGAGTCAAGACACTTACAATGTTTTTCATTTCTAAAAGTGACGGTTGTTTACAAAAATGAAATACTTTGCTTACCCTCTGATCTGTTTTGTTGTTGAAATATCCTTTATTCAGAAGCTCGAAATGAGTTAGTACAAAGGAAAATAAGTTACAGTTCTATAGAAACTCAGTCCCTTGTCAGATAGTTCTAGTTGCACTGTGGGGATATTTCACTCAATTTATGTCAGTATCATTTTCAAAGATAAAGAAAGAACCATCAAAGAATGAATTCTGACAGGTAAGTTTTTGTGATTTGCATTTGATAAAGGCAGCTAATACTCCAAGCCAGAAGGATGAATGGTATTGATTTAATAGTGGATGCTCTTAGAGGATAAAAACGAATAATCTATGTTTCTTTAAATTAAAAAAATATAAGAAGAGCTGTATTATCTATTTAATTTGGGAAAAAGTAAACAGATTCTTCCCATAATGGAAAAACAACTCAGGTTTAAAATAATAGAATCCTAGAATTAAAGGAGCCATGAAAGAATCTTCTATTCAGTTCAGAATGTTTATTACTTGATGCCTGACACATGGCTCTTTAATCTTTGCCTTTGTAATTTTCCATCATTACAATTCAAAGCAGTCCATTTCCATTTTGAAACATATGGAAATTTGATATGTTTCTTTTGAGAAGCAACAGCAGTTATAAAAGCAGCGAACATTAATTGAGCCCTTACTATGTGGCATAGAATCTCTTATGTGCTTTACCAATTAATATCTCATCACTTCTTTGTAAAGCCAGTATATTGAACAGTCTCAATTTCATTATGTACTTATTGGAAAAATTTATTTTTTTCTCCAATACTTTCTTTCATCTATGCCCTATAAAATCTCCCTCTCCCATGCCTTCTAGATTGTTAGACAGTCACTATAGGCCTTCAGCTGAATTTTGTTGAAACAACAATGCCAGTAATTAACATTCACTTTCCAATGTAGAAATTCAAGTCCAATCTAAAAGTGAATCCCCTGTTCATTTTAAAGTGTTTTCCACAACTGAAGCGCCAGCCTGACCCTAGGTACTTAGAGTGGGAACAAAGAATGGTCAGATTTTTGCTCCTCCCCCTCTGCCAAAGAATGTATCTGGATTCTTCAGGATTGGTCTGGGTGGAGAGTTAGAAAAGAAGGGGCCAGATTGTTTTCATAATGGCTATTGGTATCTCCCGCGGGACAGAAGCCCAGACATCAATTCTCCACTGAGGTACCTGTCTGAGCATTTCCAAAAGGCCCTGCAAGTCCACCAGAGGAGGAGGACATACTTCAACTTCCTGTAACTGCTCTCACCTGCCACCTGTTCCCCCAGCAGTCTCCTACTGTACCAAACCTATGCCCACTTAATCCAAGGGACACACATTCTTGTTGGGTGCTCTAGCAATGCCCCATCTTTGGGGCTTATTATTACAGATGGCTCCAGCTAGCCAACCTTCTTCTAATTTCCCCAGGTGAGAAGCCAGGGTCACATGTCAGCTTTCCTAGGAAATGTTCCACAGCATTCTTCTCTGGTGGCAGCAGCAAATTGGCCTTATGAATTCCTTTCTCTCAGCAATCACACTGCAAGGCAGTGAGTCTGTCTTCCCTTCTGATAGTCACCTAAAATTGCTACGGTGTTTTCTTTGTGCTCCACTCCATTTGGAGAGGGGAGTGCTGACTTGTTTCTCTAAATCTGTGAAAACAGTATTTATTGTCTTCAGCTTTATGATTTTAGGGGTAGGACTGTGGCAAAACTATCATCCAATTCCTATTTTATAATATATATATTTTTTATATTTAATAAACTATCAGAGAAATGCTATTATTATAACTGTTATACAGTTAAGAAACTGAGGCTTAGAGAAGTTGAATGACTTTCTTAAGGTTACAAAAATAATAAAATTATACCAGAAAATTCAATCTTGTTCTCTAAAATTTTTGTATCTAACCATCATGGTATCTCCAGCTGAATTGTCATCTGCTACCTCCCTTCCACTTCCAATCAGTGATCCTAAATCAGCCCTCTAATTGAATATAAAACATTCGATTCAGTACATAATAATTACCCATTTACTACTTTCTATTTTTCAGATAAATGCCAAATTCTAACATGTCCTACTACAGAGCACTGCATGGTTTGGCTTCTGAGTTATCTCACGGTTCATTTCAATACCATTCTTCCCTCTAATTTTTGTAAAGATATTTTATTCTATCCTACCAGAAAGCGTTCATATGCTGGTCCCTACCATGTGTCTACTTCACTCGAGGCAACCACTTGTCCCTTATTTGCCTAGTTAACTCCAACTCAAACCTGAGGTACTTTGAATTCTGATTCTGTTGCTTAGAATTATTAGTCCTTCCCAACTGTGTAGCACATCATCCTCATTATTGGCAATTAAAGCCAATACAGTTGTATCTGTCACAGAATTATAGGCCAAAGTAGACCGTGGTGCAAAGTCAATGTTCTTAAGTGTTCATGCTGGTCTTGACTAGGCTTGCTTGTGTTCCTGGGGGCCAACTGATCTATGTTGGCTCTCCTTCAAAAAGCTCTCGTCTTCCTCCTGATCCCAGCAGGCTAGCCCAAATGTGATCTCATTTGCCAAGTGGCTAAAGGGCAAGAAGGAGCCCAAATGCATTTCAGCCTAAAATACATCTGCTGAAATCCCATTGGCCAATCCCATAACAAGAGGGCTGGGCCACTAACTGTTCTTTGTGGGTGGAGACTATGAAGTTACATAGATAAATGAGTAAACGTTCATTTATTTGATGCTTAATAGCTTCTTCAGCATCGTAGCATCATCCATTCTTGCTGTCATAGGTGCTTCTTTGTTATTTTCATTATTCTTTTTTAATTCTAACTTTTTCCCCCTGATTTCTGTAATTTGAGTGTCATGATACTCTTCCAGATAACTTTATTGCAAACTACTTAGAAAAATACAAGGAAGTGTTAATATGATTTTTTCAGAAATTTATTTTTAAAAAATCTTATATTTTGGCTTTTACTGGTATTTCAAGAATTTAAATGAGATTTACAGAAAATGATCATATAATTACAGATCTTAGTGTCTGTCTTTATACGAGGTCCAATGCATTCTTTATTATTATACTTCCTCAACAAGTTCATGATCATCAGTGGCATTTAGTTTCTAAATACAACACTAAATTTGATATGCCCTAATTTCTATCCAAATTTTGTATATAAGAAAAATGACAAACCAACTGTCTTTGAAGATCACGATCCCTGAATATTTCTCTGGAAAAAAATTCTCAGAGAACAAAGCAGAAATACTGAGTTGGCAATTTCAAATGATATATCCCATAATCTCTACATTCCAGCTGCTATCTGATTCTAAAAGGGTTTTGGCACCATGAAAATGTTACATTACCAAGACATGCAGGATAATCTAAATCTCGCAGAGGAGCCCTTCCTCTGTGTCAGGAGGACAGAATGCGGCAGTAGGTTTCTTTTGATTTAGGATTGCAGCTGCCGTGACAGAGAAGCACTGTAACAACACATAATAAAAATAAACTAGAACTGCTAAGATGATTTTAGGTAAATACCAGACCATGAACTCTGATGCAAGCTCAGAAAGCTAAGATAACATCCTGCAGTCAGTAGAAGCCTATTTATTGATAGTAAACATTTTAAATGTCAACAATTTTCAGAACCTAAGATAAAAACCAAACTAATGATTTCATGTCATTGCATTTTTATATATAATGACAATGTCTGTTTCTTGCATTTATTATGGAATGTGTGAATGTATAGATTATACTAAGCATAGTTTACAAAAAGTTTTAAAGACTTATTTAAGTAATCTGTTTTGTTAATTGTCTTATGTTACAATGATTTATGTCCTTATTTTTAGGCAGTCAGTTTTCTGTGCTTTCTTTTTCCTGCAAGTTTTATTCCAGTATTTTATTGCTACTTCTGTTGTCCCAGATCTTACTTATAAGGCAGCAAAAATATTTGACTCCAAAAAGATGTCAACCAGCTTTGTACTAGGTTTTCCTTCTACCTTTATTTCAATTTCTGATGTGCAATAAAGGAATACACACACATACACATGCACACACACATATACACCTAAATATTTTGTGGCAAAACAAGGAGCATGCTGTAATGTGAGCAAATTATTTAACTGCTTAACCTCAGAATAGTCTTTAAAATGAATGTGTTGGACCAAGAATATTCCTCTAAGATAATATCGATCTTCCAAGGATAATGCTGCCCTTGGATATAGTAATTATTTTAAGAACTAGTATCCTCATGGTAACTACTCTTTTGAAAAAGTGATCCATAAAGAATTATCAGTACTTCAGCTCAAAGTTCCTGCATCTTGCAGTTTAACAACAACAACAACAACAACAACAAAACAAAAATTCTGGACTTAGAGCCAGTCATTTAGGATTCTACAACTCTTGATGTCATTTTCAATGATTATAAAAGGAAGGGACTCAGAGGATTTCTGAGATATTTTTAATCTCTGGAACTCTATTGATCTAAGATTGATGTACTAACAAAAAAGACATACTCAATTTGTCTTTAATAACCATTGAAAATAGGAAAGAAATCCTGGCACAAAACTGATACATCTGAAACTGTTTTATGTTATCTGAGATTATTTCTAGAAATATATTCACAAACTCTAGTCATTTTGGTGATGTTTTTATGACAAGAGATATGCCATAGGAACTTAACTCTTGTTTATATCAATTAGCGTATGGTAAAATTGGTTTTTCTATGCATTGATCTGCTTAAAGTTGCAGTTTCCAAGAACCTATTGAGGATGTTAAGTGATACTCCACACATCCTTCATTGTGAAGGGCATACCCTGGCTGGGTAACATGCTGTGTGGGATCCCATGCTTGTGGATTCCAAAACTCCTAGTGCTAGCTGAGTTTCTGTGAACAGGAATGTCAAACTATACCCCAAAGTAGATATATATACCTAAATAAATGAACCTGGTGATTCTTACATGATGGAAGGAGACCAGCAGAGTCAATATGCCACCAAATGTACAATGCTATATTGAAGGCTCAGTGTGAGGGTTTTAGGAATTGGACGGAGAGGGAGTTTTCTTTAAATTGTGTTCAGACTATTGATTTATATGTCAATGCCGAGAAGATACACATACATAAGATTTTAGATATAGAACATCTGAACTGGTGCTAGATTGTCTGTAAAACTTCCGATTGCCTTTTTCTTTCATGTGTTCCTTCAACCACCTAGATTAACAAATGTAAGGGAAATGAGAAAGTCAATTGAGATTATGACTCATTTGGTTGTATGTTATAAATTGTATGGGAAATTGAACAGCATAAATTGTACTTAGGTAGATTTGGGTAGATTTCCAGCATTTTACAAACCACCAGATTATTAATGTCATTCATTTCTTCCTAAAACTATGAAGGAAAAAAAAAATAGTTAAAAATTTTTTTAAAAAATCATTTCAAAATTTCTACATATAAAATCTAAAATTATACCTCCAAATCTATTTTAAAAATAAATTCTAAAGCTGAATTTAGAATTAGATTCAATGACCTAATTAACTGGACCAAGTTCTAAGTTAACATAGAGACAGAGCATTATATTTCCAAATACCAATGTATTTGAAAATAAAACTGATTAAGTTATAGATTCTGTAGATAACATCACAGATCAAATAACTTTAATGAATGGATTTAATTTTTTCACTTTACAGTCACATATAAAGACTAGCTGTTCATTGGAGGAAAGAATTTTTTTTAAATAGGTGCTAAAGAGAAAATAGAAATAATTGTTAGCAGCTTTGGAAAAAAGCACATTATGAAATAAATCATGTTTTAATTAAATAAGAATTAAAGTTTTTACTGCATAGTGAACATATTTCATAAACTATTTATAATAGGACTTTTTAAAAATTTTGGTATGTATGCACTGTTAAAGGGAGTAGCAACTATTCATACCAGCAATGGGGAGTCTTATAATAAACACACTACTAAATAAATGGACTTCTATTAATCTGTGAGTGCATATAGTAATTTTTATTCTGTAAATATTTATTTGATCATCAGTGAGAAAATATTTTATCAAAAATTTTTTAACATTTTTATTCTTTTTTTTGTAAATCTTTGGTTGGTATTTCTCATTTATGTATTGTTTTGTTTCTCAATATATATGAGCTTTTAATATATTATGTGTTGAAATTTTCAAATTACATTATATATTCTATTGTGTTAGATATTCTATTGCTTATATTGTTTCTAGATAAGTTAACTAAGGTGCTAAGTGAGATTTTTTGCCCATAGTTATCCTATTATTTTTCTCTGGCCATTTCTTTTCAGAGTCCTTGAGTAATTTTTATTTCTTGGCCTATACCTAACTATTGGTGTTTCTCAGGACCTTTATTATATGCTTTTCCCAGGGTGATATAAATTACACCAACTGCAAGCTGTGACCAAGTGCTGATGACCCTCACATTTATGCTGTCAGTCCAAATGTCTCCTGTGTTCTAGCCAGCTTCCTGCAAATTGCCATCTGGGTGTTCCCCACTCACCTCAAATAAAAGAAGTCCCAAATTATATCTACCAATATTTTCTACCCTTGTAAATGTGCTCCCTCATGTTAACAGAAACAACCATCCAATGTGGTAGGCTTGAATTTGTTTGGCTTCAACTACTTTCCTCTCCTCTCTGCTCCTACGTCATAATGTCCTTAAATCCACCATTTCATCTTTCCATCTGCTGTTGCATTTGTTCAGATGACATTTCTTTTATCATGGAGAGACTGGTCTGTTTCCCATTCTTAAGAGTTATCTTTGGAAAAAAAATCTTTTGAGCTTATGGAAGTAGAAGGTAGAATTGTGGGTATCTGATGTTAGGAAGAGGAAACAGGATAGGGGAGATGTTGGTTAAAGGATACAAAATTACAACTAGATAGGTGGAATGAATTCTGGTGTTCTGCAACACTGCAGGGAAAATATGGTTGACTATAATTTATTGTATGTTTTCAAAAAGAGGAGAGGATTTTGAGTGTTCACAACACAAAGGAATGATAAATGTTTGGTGGTGATGGATATGCTAATTATCCTGATTTGATCATTATGCATTGTATACATGCATGGAAATATCATTCTGTAACCCATAAATATGCACAATTATTACATGTTAACTAAAAATAAAAAGGGATAAAATAAAAATTTTTTAAAATTCTTTGTAAATTTTCTATTCCAATCATTTTTTTTCAATTTATCAAATCAAATCTCAATTCTTTGTGGAAAAACTATGATTAAGTTTAATTGTTAAAGAGCTATTCACAATAGGATTTTGAGAAATATGTTCAATAATACTGGTTTTGGTATCAATCAATATTTGAGTTTTAATAATTGATTAAAACTTGATTTTATGTTCAGTTGCATAAACAAATATCTTCTGGAATTAGATATTTTAATGGTAGCAGCAACTTTAAAAATGTTTTTGATAAAATTACCTCGCAATTAGACTGATACTCATATGTGTGGTTACATTTAAAATCAGTGATGTTTATAATTCCTATGCTACTAGACAGTCATTCCATATTCCTGACAGAAATCAGCAGATGATAATAAACAGTCAGACCTTGACATTATTAAATGATACATGAGACAGTTATGGTAATTTAGCCTTTGACTTATCCATCATTTACCATCCAGAAGTCTCTCTTGAAGTAAAATTGCAGTTCTATTACTTTAAAAAATTGTGGCTGTGCACATACTTTTTCATTGAAAAGACATTAACTTTTCAGAGAAATCAGTAGAAAATTTAATCTCTATTTGATTCCTGAATGCAGGGATAAATAAAACATGAATGATATATTTTTATGTCAATTAATTTTACAAATCACTCATCAAGATTTTAGGTAAAAATGATTACCATTTATTTTATTTGTAATATGTGAAGAAAGCTTATCTTTTTATATTGTGATTATATTTTTCTTTTATGTTGTTTTATTTTGCAGCAAATAGAAGTAATCATAGATTTGAGAGATAGTGATGCTGGTTGTTATTGCAAGAGTAAAAATAAGAAAGGAAGAAAATTGGACAGTGGAACATTTCTCGAGCTCTTGTATACTAACTTTGTGGTGTTGGGGGATTGGTCCTGTTTTGCTTTATACAGGTGATTAAAGCAGTAGAGGAAGGCTACCGTCTGCCAAGCCCCATGGACTGTCCTGCTGCTCTCTACCAATTAATGCTGGATTGCTGGCAGAAAGACCGAAACAGCAGGCCCAAGTTCGATGAAATAGTCAACATGCTGGACAAGCTGATACGTAACCCAAGTAGTTTGAAGACGCTGGTTAATGCTTCATGCAGGTATGGGGCCAGATCTGAGCAACTTTCCATAATTTAGCTAATTCAGATTGATGTCACAAATAATGTCATCAACTAAATCTTTCTGGTACACATGTCAATCTAGGGATTTATATGACACATTTATTTGCATATAGGTCTTTGCATAATGTTACTCTCTTACAATGAATAAAATATGTAACTAAATTAAACCTAAAAGCACCTATATCTACTCTAATAGTGTAGCATGCCAATTTCAGAAAAATGTGAACTATAGCAATATTCTGGTAACATTTAAAAAATACATTCAAATGTGTGTATTTTCATGTGTTTTGGAGGATAGATATGGATGGGGAAAATAAGATTTTAAGATCATCAGGAAAAGCCAATTAAGCACAGATGTATTTTAAACCACAGATATCTCACAATAATTACTCTTTGATTTCTTTAGAATATGGTTTAGTGTCAGTCATTTAAATATGAATATTTTTTCATGTTCATATTTATGGACATTGACAACTTTAGGGACCCTGTTGCTCTAATCCAATTGTATACAGATATTTGGTTAACCATTTAACATGCATTTTGAACAAGAAACATGCATTTTGAATAAGACTTAACACTGATGAATGAGTAATCTCATGGAGAAAATGTATGTGAGTAAATGAGCATATTTTTTACTTTTCTGAATAGCACATGAATGTGTTTAAATAATTTTGCATATTTGTGAAGCATGTTTTTCTCTTTACCTGAAAAACAGAATTATCCACTCAAAAAGTAAATAATTTCAATTCCATGCTAGAAAATTTTATCAAATTTTTATTTTCACTATATTTGAGGAATTTTTTTTTACAAGAAAGTATTATGTTGGTAACTGCATTGACTGCCTTTTAGAATGAACCAAATTAGAAACAATTTGTTGATAAAGTTACAAAAGTACTACCATCCTGACATAACATTTGTTTACTAGATGAAAAGTCATTTTAAATACAAATGAGGAATGAAATCTGCAAACTGTGTTCAGGCATCATTAACTTTCTGTTGTAGCAACTGGAAAATGTGTCTTTTTAGAAATTATTCCTTATGCTGCTCCCTAAGTATCTGCTTTTAAATTGCTTATTGTCATGTAAAATATTAAGACTTTCTCTCTTCTACTTGCTTGAATTATGTTACATTGTCACAAATGGACATAAGGAAAGGAAATAAAAATAAACTATTAATGTTCTCAATTGCATTAATTTATATTGGTATCTACATTGTAGCTGGAGAGCAATTTAAAATATTCTAATTTCCATATATCCTTGCATGCGGTATATAGGATTCAGCTTGCCAGGTTTTGTTTAAGCAGATTTAGATTTAAGACCAGCTATACCTCTCACTACCTTTCCTTTATTTAGTCATCTGCAAATCCCAATTCTAGAAGGTGTTAGTTCCTGGTTCATGACTTGAATGTTTGAATACCTTGAACATTCAAGATATTCAATATCTTGAATATCTTGAATGTTTCTTCTTCAATGATTTTGTTCTCAAATGTCCCTTGGACTCTCCTTCCCATGGTTATATTCTAATTCTTGCTATTATCAAAAATTGCAGCTCTTCCATAATTTCAGCTTTGAGGTCCCATTCTCCAACTGTCTCCTCCTGTATTGCTATATCGAACAATTCTTGTTTAATGTTGCATATCACACCAATACATTCATCTATTCATCTAACAAATATTCTCCCTTCTACCCTGTGTCATGCTGTAGGCTAGGTGCTGAGGACACAGCATTAAGCAAATAGTCCTGGGTATCTGCCTTTATGGAGCTAACACACTGTTGGCCGAGGGGAGAGAGACATTGACCACAATAAAAACATCAAAAAAATGCGTGTTTGGTTTTTGAGTGGACAGTGAGGGTAGAATTGACAAGGATAACTAAGAGGCTAGATTGGTTGTGCAGGCAAGGCATGATGGTGTCTTGAAATAAGGTGGGGATAAATGAGATAGAAATGGTCAGTCATGCAAGATATTGGCAGTAGATTGGATAGCATGCACAATGATAGATTGGGAGGGGAATGAGGATGAGGAAGAGGTTGACTATTGAATCATAAACTATAATGGGGAGGACTTTAGGAAGACATGGATGTGGAGAAGATGAGGAGTGTGGTCTGGGGCATGTTGGGGTGATATTCTTAGGAGAAATTTAGAGGCACAAAGTAGAAATGTCCAAACATAAGAGACAGTCTGCAGTTAGAAATTTGAGAAAAACAGACAGTATTTGAAGGCATGAAAGTGAGTAAAATTGCAACAGTGGAGTCGTAACTTGAGTAGAAAAGATATAGGGCCAAGCCCTGGCTCCCTTCAACTTTTAACACTGGGAAAAGGAGTAGTAGGCATAGGAAATTGAGGAGAATCCAGGCACACACAATGTCATGGTAGCCAAAAAAGAGATGATAGTGATTTCAAAATGTTGATATAGAGTAGGATTTCAAGAGGAAGTTGGTAATGGTGTTGGCTGAATGTTTCCGAGAGGTTCATCATCTTATAGATGGGAAAATGTTCACAGATTTTGGTAAAAGAAAGGTCATTGCTCACCTTAATCATATGAATTTTTATAGAATTACTTTCCAAAAAACTATACTCACATAAAGTATAAATAGAATGAGAGAAATTGCAGAGAATATGAGTAGAAAAAATGTATTTATATCCTATATCTTATGGTTGAAATTTACTTAAGCAAACTCTGGTTGATGGCCATGTAAATTATTTGTAATGTTTAGGTATCTTTTACCATTTTCCTGATTATTTCCTTAGGATACATTTCTAGAAATCATCATCATTATCATCATCATTATTATTAATTTCATACTAAGAAGTATGAAATTAGTGTTACTAAGAGCATCTCATGGTTTAGTTGATTCTATTTAATTTTCTTATATACTTGGAGTTACATTTTGTTTTTTAGGTTCTCACTCTTAGGTGAATTAACAAGCACCCTTTGTAAAAGCAGAAAATAAAGAATAAATAACTTCTGGATTTCCTGAAAAATTAACTAAAATGAGTATGGGTTCTTCTAGCAAAGTCTAGAAACAACTGGGTTTGCGTGAATTATCCTGCATATATCTGATAACATTTTCTCTATTATCTTAAAAACAAAACAGTGGTAGGGGTCAGGCATGATGACTTATACCTATAATCCTAGCATTTTGGAGGGCTAAGGTGGTAAGATCTCTTGAGGCCAGGTGTTGGAGACCAGCCTGAGCAATATAGTGAGACCCTGTGTCTGCAAAAAATAGAAGAATTAGTTGGACATAGTGGCATGTGCCTGTAAGTCTCAGCTACTCAGGAGGCTGAAGCAGGAGGATCGCTTAAAGCCCAGCAGTTTGAGGTTTCCAGAGCTACAGTGACACCAGGCAAGAGAACAAGACCCTGTCTCAAAAAACAAACAACAAAGAACAATATTAGGAGGTAAATATATCTAAATCACTACATGAAAATTTTTAAGTTGACTGAGTTTTTAAAGCAGTTTTAGATTTACAACAAAATTGCATGGAAGGTACAGAGATCTCCCCCTGACCCCACACAAGTAGAGCCCTCCCCCACTCCATTATCAGAATCAACCACGAGAGTGGCATATTTAATACCATTGATGAAGCAGCATTGACACATCATTATCTCTCAAGGTCCAAAGTTTACATTAGAGTTCACTCTTGGTGTTGTACATTTAATGGGCTTGGACAAATGTGTAAATATGTATCCACCTTTATAGTATCATACTGAGTAGTTTTATTTCCCTAACAATTTTCTGTGTTCTCCTACTGATACTCCATGAAATTTTTACCTGTTGTTTTGTTGTACAGAAATTTTACTTATTAACCTATCATGAGTCCTCATTAATTACAGATAAAAATATCAATGGACTGATTTTATGTTCTCCTGCATCTTGAATGATTTTCTTTCATATTGGCATTTGCACATTTTTTCTATAAATATACTTCTAGATCCAAAGATCCATTGAATTGAGTATGAGTTAGCATTGCAAAAGATTTTGTTATAAAAATGTTAAAGTATTCCTTCTGATTTCTATGTTTTATGTGTTTTAGAGTATCTAATTTATTGGCAGAACATGGCTCACTAGGATCTGGGGCCTACAGATCAGTAGGTGAATGGCTGGAAGCAATCAAGATGGGCCGGTACACAGAAATTTTCATGGAAAATGGATACAGTTCAATGGACGCTGTGGCTCAGGTGACTTTGGAGTGAGTAATTTTTCTGATAATTTTTACATAATTGCTGGGGCGAGAAAAATGATTCAGAAACCAATCTGGATGAGGTCAAGGGAATTCAGTTAACCTTTGTCCATGTCTGGCAGCTCTCAAAGAAGCCTCATCTTTTTTAGCCTGTATTGTTAACAACTGCATGGTTCATGCTACCTGTGGCCAGTATCTTTGCTTCTTTGTTTCAAACAAATGACGTTTGAGTTTTTGAATAATTGGAATAACAGCTCCTTGGCAAAATACTGGTATTTTGTGTTGTGGAAAAGATGTTTTCTTGACAAGTTTTTATACTGGTACCTATGTTACATGAATGTAAATACGAAACAAACTGTAAGCACAATTGGTGTTTCTCTTCCTACATAAGGATAAAACATATTCTCAAATTTCAGCTCTCTATGATGAATACCAAGGTTACAACAGCTTAAACAAAGCTTCCCTGGCAGGAATCTCATTTACCCTCTAAGTGGTGCACCTTATATTCCTGTGATCTAAGGATATGTTAGATCCTGCCTCTGATTTGCTATTTGGTACGATCTCAGTGGAACCAATTGTGCCCTTTTCTGTTTGCACGTTTAGGATAAAATGATCAAATCTTATTAAATAAAAATCACTTAGAGTTCAATATTAAATTCTTTAAGGTTGTAAGTTGTTTGTACTTTATTCTATACTCTGTATGTGTAGTTATTTTAGCCTAATTGTTATTTGTGAAAATTCATTGTCCTTATGGTGGTTCCATCTAGATTACATTAATATTAATAATGTTTTAACCTGTGAATATAATGATCACTCATTTCAGATAACCTACAAATTCAAAGGTTAAAATATTGTTGTAAGGATTAGAAAATGGTAGAATATTCTAAAGCACTAAACCACAGTGCTTATTTCATTGCTTCACATGACGTGAACATTGAGCAGTTCTCGCTCACCATTTCTATTACTCTGGCATTCTTTAATTCACAGAATTCATTCCTTATCCCCACAAAAGGTAACAGGGTACCACCATTTATCACCAGTTAATGTCACATTCTCAGCATTCTCTTCCTTCATCCTGAAAAATCACAACCACTCAGTTTGTTTTCTTAATTTACTGAATTCTATTCTCACTGTCACCACCAAATCAGATCTCCTTGATGACACCCATGCTTTGCCCATTATTTCTTTGGACACTCAAGAAACTAATTTGTGCTATCTTTACAATAGAATACTGAAAAATTTACTGATGATTTTAAACTATTTTTACATGACTGCTATTTAATTTTTCAGTAAAAATGGTCATTTTAATTTATTAAAGTCATTTGTCATTTTATATTAAAATGATATTGTAGGTATTTCTTCTACCCAATGTCAGATTACTTGTAAATATATAATAAAATTATTTGCATTATACAGTGTCTCTTTTTTTATTAAAATAGCACATATTCATATATATAGTTCTGTCCACTACATTTTTGTTTCTCTCTTCACAGAATAGTTATAATCACAAATAGTGGTTTTTTCATTAACTACCTGTGTTTTACTTTATATCTTGGGGGCTCCAGTATAAATATGTTGAATATTGTAGCATTATGGTTTCAGGATTTTTTATAATTCTTTTCCATTTACTCTCCTATCTTTTCCTCTATCTCCAAACTCTCTTTATTTTGTATATTTTCTTTCAAGCCCTAATAGCCTCTTCTGTCTTATCATAATGATTCTTCTCCAGCCTGTTGCCTCTTGCTATATCGCCTCCTTTCAGATATTTTTTCATTTAATTTATTTACTCTGACTTGAAGAGTATGGTATAATTAGGATACTTAACCACCATCGTCCGGATCAGAGAATGTTGGTCTCCTTTTGTCAGTTGCTTCCTGGGGGCCATCACCATTAATATATTTCTCACTAGGAACTGGGCCAGTAGTCCCTAACTCTAGTAAAGCTGATCACTTGGGAGACTGTAATACCTTTAAGTACATGTTCTCTTGTTTACTGTGCTTTTGACCATATTTTTTCTATTTGATAGGAATATATTTATCACAACATTATATTAAAAAACTCACAAAATAATCAGTTACATTTTTCGCAAAAAATAATTAAAAAAAAAAGAACATCTATACATTTTGCTTTCTCTTCACACACACACACAAAAAAAAAAGTCATTGCTAAAGACAAATCGTAAAGGAAATTGGGATTATCAGCAAAAGACAAGCTCTCGAAACAGCCTGATAATGATTTTTCATACATGGTCTTTACCCAATAACTAAACGTTAATTCTATGAAGTCTGTGTAATACTACAATAAAGTAATAAAATGTTATACCTAGAGTTGTTTCCCGGGAATAATAGAAGCTGAGAATGAAGGAATGCATTCTTAACTGTTATAAATACTTAGAAAAACTGTTAAAATCAATTCATATAAAGCAAATGATCAAACTGCCATATATAAAAAAAAAAGGTATTGTAATTTATGACATCAAATTTGTTTTCATAGCGGGTTTAGAAAAAGAAAAGTAAAAAAATACAATTTCTCAAAACCACATACTTCGGTTAAGAAATTCCTTCATAAAGGTTTAATTTTGTTTTTGTTTATGAATTGTTTATCAGTACATGCACATATGGCTGAATACGGAAAGGAAATGGAGAACTTAGACGTATTAGGATCAAAGCATGTTAATGAAAGTGACTTTCAACCTTAAATGTTTTTATATGCTGTTCTCTGTGCCTAAACCTTACTATTCTGTGTACAGTATTCATATGAGAACAATTGTTATGGCAGTCACAGTGCAAATTGTACTATCATGTGTAAGTGCAGTGAGTTATTGTAAATAGAGGGAATTGGGAGCTAGAGGTGAGTTGAAAATTGAATCCAAAGATTTCAGTTAAGGACAGAATCACAGCTACTTTTTAAACGTTCAGACTGATGCTGTCAACTTTTGGTTATTCAGAAAATGAGCAAAATCCAATGAATTTAAATGTTGTACCAATATACCAATTGTGTATAAGCTAAAAAGGTCCTGTTATTATCAGTTAATAGAATGGAATCCTAAACTATTAAAATGAAAGTTTTCTAAATCTAGAGCCAAAATCTGTACAGGCTAAATCAAATAGATTTATTAACTTACCATTAAAGTCATTATGCATGATTTATTATACACGTAAAGTATACATAAGAGTACTTACTATCCTCTATGTTTTACTTAATTAAACTTAAACTACAAGTCAAGCCCTCACGATGTCTCATTCTTTCAAACTTATAACAGACCATTGTTAAACCTCCTCTTGCCAAATGTAAATATATTTGTCTTGTATGATATCTATATAAATGATTATCAGGATTCTCCTAAGTTAACCAAAAAATGAGAAATCTACAACTGCATGATAGAACTATGACAAAAGCATTAAATACTGAAGTTTAGTGAATATTTGTTAATACCTCTTCTCCCTTCTCCTATCCAGCCAATATTGGTGGGGCTAAGTACCAGTTATATGATTAAAAAGTGTGTAAAGCAGAAGGGAGAAGAAGGAGCAAGGGAATGAATCATCCACAGATGGATGAATTTAAGCCTGAATAATCAAGAGTTGGCTCCGACATCAACTGGACACCTCTTGTCATTCTCTATTTTTCATTCTGCCATTTTAGCTTTGTAATATTAGTGTTTTCCCATTGTTTAATATTATGGGATAATGTTTGAAAAAATACTGGAATGTAATCCCAACAAGGGCAATTCATTATATTTGCAGCTTTACTAAAACTAATCATTTTTGTTCAACAAAAATCAAACTATTTTTATATGTTACAACACTATTCTCATCATGTTTTGACACATAAGCCTATACTGGTATATGGTTTATCATCATTAGAATTGACTTTGAATACTACTTAAGATTATGCATGATCATGATAAAATTAGTATAATATTTATATAGGGAACACATTTAAAATTATACTTAGCTATAACATTTCCTACTTAGAAAAATAAAATGAAAAAAATAGCATATCTTGCACCACTTCCAATATTTTTTAAAATCATTGTAAATAGAACAATGATTTCTTCATAAAATGTAAAACATTTTATTTTATTGCTACAAATTTCTATAATTATTACTGCTAATTTGACCATGTGCTTGGGGTAGTAAAATAAGAATTGTTGAAAATAGTAAATGTGTGAGATAAAACTACTTAAAAATATGCTTTACTGCATTACCAACATTGGAACAAAGTTATTTAACCTTTACTAATTAGACCTTTTCTAATATCATCTTAATTTTCTTGTGTAGTAACATTGAAAATATTAAAAGATATTTTAAAAGAAACTACTTTGCTGCTGAGAACAATTTTAACTTGCATAAATAGTATTATTTCTCTTTCACTTTTTCACTGAAAATCACATTGTATAAAGGTATATGTACATTGCATGCCTTATAATCATGCTATTGTCTGTCTCTGCACATTTATTTGACAGGTTTTGAAATGACAGGTCAGATTTAAAGAAAATAAACATTATTTAATTAAAGACACACATCATTTATGTAGTGTGTAAAATGCAATGCTATGTTTTTATAACTCCATTTCTCCCATGGGGACATGGGGATGTAATGAAGTGGAAAGGAGAGAGAGAGAAGAAAAAAGAGTGGGAGAAACAGAATTTCAGTGATCTTACCTTCCTCATGCATCTTAGGGGATAATCAGGTAGTAAATTGATCTTGAAACAAAACTTTATGCTTAGTTCACTGGGAAAATTCAAGCAAATGTTAATTTAAAATCTACATGTAAGAAGTGTTCTGAAGAAGTATAGATCTTGTTTTCCAATAAACACAAACTCTGTACCCACATTTATAAATCAAATACAATTCCTCAAAACATTCACTCTTTACCATGATACAAATATCATGAAAAATTTAAATTCTCAAAGCACTGAGGTAGAGTTTTTCTTGTGATCAAGTCATTTCAAGAGAATTAAATTATATTTATATTTACTATAACAAGTTAAGGCAGTTAAAATAAAAATGAGACAAACTAGTGATTTGATTTTTTTTTTTTTTAGGCAAAAACAGCAAAGAGTTGTAATATGGAACACACACACATACACAAACACACACTTCAAATTCAAGTTTTGCTTTTATATGTAAAAAGTCCATGTTGTTTGACAGGAAACCTATGAATTCTTTTTTCAGGTCACTCAGAATAAACTATAATGGTTATTCTCAAAAGCTCATTCCTAGTAATTAGTATAGCACTCATGAATTGTACAATTTAAGTGTACAATCCCAGCCTGGATCCATCAGTATTACCTTTGGGTTTAAGAAGCATATGATAAAACACATAACTCCCTTGTTTTAAAACTTCATTTCTTATCCTAATTAAATTCTCTAGTAGAGACTGATTGTTTTCAGGTTAAGCAATTTAACATTTTACGTTTTTTTTTTCTCCTGAGTATGATCCAAAGGTTGCCTGTGAAAACCCACAAATACTCACATCTACATAATTCTTAACAATTCACGAGTTGTAAGTGGAAACATGAAAATATAAATTAGCCTATATCTGAAACTGCCATGAAGTACAGATTTGGTTACTGTAGCCTCAAAGAAGATGTGTTTAGTTCCCTTTATTAGATATATTCTTTCTTTAAATTTTTGTATATTTGATGATACATTTACAGAGTTTTCATTCTACAGGTGAATAAATTGTTGCATTATGTAGGTCTTTTCTCAAAATCTTATCTCAGAATAATGAGAAATTAAGAATATGGACTTTAGTGTCAGGTATACCATTTTAGTCCTAACTCTGTTATCCACTGGCTTTTTAAAAAATCTAGCCAAGTAGTTTAAATTCTCTAACCCTTTGTTTACTCATCTATAAAAGAAAAAATTGAAAAATCTTTATCATAGCGTTATATATGGTCCCTGCATAGAGGAAGGAGATGTCTATTAAGTCTCAGCTGTTTCTTTTTATAGTTAGTGCAAGAGTTCTCAACTAGGGGAGGTTTTGCCACTCGGAACATTTGGCAATGTCTGAATATACATTTTGTTGTGTCAGAACAAAGAGTTGGTTTTGGTGCAGTGCTTCTGTTATCTAGTGGGTGAAGGCCAGAGATGCTGCTAAATATCCTACAATGTGCAGGACACCTCCCTACAACAAAGATTTACCCACCCTATAATGTTACAGGGACAAGGCTGAGAAACTCTCCTTTAATTGAAAAGAGAGAAGATTAAAATGAAATCTTTTTTACTCTTACTTGGATCTGCAATTAGCTATTGTATAGTCTATTTCATTACTAACAGTAGTGATTTTGTTTCAAAGTAAATTTTTACTGATCTTTAAATTTTGCTGATGGTCGTCTTCCATAGCAAGTCTCCATTATAATTTTTATATTGGATTTTGATATCTTGTAGTTATAATCTCCAAGTTAGCTGTTTAATATTCACCTTCTAAGAAAGAAATATGTTTCTATTACAAATATCAATAGCTTTTTTGTTGCTACTTGTTATTATTTAAAACTTATGAGAAGTCAAGAAACCAGAATGCAGAAAGACTAAAATACTATTTCAGTAAACCATCATTTCCTGTGCTAATACACATAGAACCTAGACATCCTTTTTATTTAATTTCTATTCTCTGATAATTAAGAGATTTATTTGAGTTATCTGAAAGTATTCAATTTTTACCTGTAATAACCCTAACATTATTGTATCTAATTCTGTAGAATTCTAAGAAAATTCAAAATTATTATACATACTGAATACAAAAATATTATTTTAGCAAATGTATTCAATAAAGTCATTATCTAAAGAAATATAACATTGTAAACATCTTTGTCATTTAGGATTTTGAATGTTAATGCTTGTCTTGTTCCTATATTAATGTTTATCATTTGCCAAACGTGTCTGACAAATACATACTTTAGGGGAATATCATTCTTCAATATCCTATAAAAGAACATTTTAAAAACCATGGGGACTTGTCTTAAACTCTATAACATGTAAAGTCAGTTTAGAAGTCAAAACATTTGTAATTTTTTTGAATAATAAGTTTCTTTTCAAAAAATGCACAAAAGCTTGAAAAGACTTTCTGCAAGCATGCAATCTTCAGAATGCTCTAAATGCCAATAGATTCTAGATGTATTTGGTAAAGGAGAAAAGCTCTGATACTTTGGGCCCAAAGTAAAAAAGTGACACAAATATTGTTATAAGAGCAATGTGATGATCATCCCCTAAAGATATGTTATACAAAACGATTGTTTAGAATGAGTCATCTTAAGACTTTGATTTTCAACTGCATAGTTGTAAACATTTTTAAGTATATTTCATGCATCTTTTAGAAAAATAAAGGTGCTTGTGAATATTATAGGTCCACATTTCCAAACTCTCCAATGAAGCTGCACCTTTCACTTAAATATTTATTGGCAAGCATGGGCAAATTTGATTTTTCACCTTTCTGTTCCACTAAAATGATGACGTCCACAAACGGGGGCAAATACGTATTATATCACTCCCTGTTATAAATATTTCCTTGACTGCCAACAGAATTTTCAGGTGCAATTTTAGAGCCTATCTTGAAAATTGGACCCTGTATGTTGAAATTGGGACTGTACTCTAACGAGTTTCTGCAATGTATTTGTCCCTTTGCCAGCGTGAAATATTGAGGTGTGCTGCAAACTGAATCAATACATACATCCAATGTGTGCTTTCTTCATGCAGGGATTTGAGACGGCTCGGAGTGACTCTTGTCGGTCACCAGAAGAAGATCATGAACAGCCTTCAAGAAATGAAGGTGCAGCTGGTAAATGGGATGGTGCCATTGTAACTTCATGTTAATGTCACTTCCTCAAGTGAATGATTCTGCACTTTGTAAACAGCCCTGAGATTTATCTTTAAAAAAGGGGGGAAAGGGAAAACAGTGATTTCTAAACATTAGGAGAGCACTTGTCTCAGCTACAGATTTTGTAATCATTGTTTTACTAAAATCTCCATATCTTCCTTCCAGTGTCTTCATTTTTCATGAAGCAAATATACTTACATTAAAAAAAAATGAAGTTCAACATCATCTTACAACAACAAAATCCTTCTCACTACTTCTACAAAATTTTGTACATGAAATATATAATTATATAGCACCTTTATAGACTGAATTAAGGCAGCCTGTTTCAAAACTTCCAGGGATCTACTTGAAAGGAAAAGTTTTATAGCCATTTGTGGGCTAACAAAAGCTGCAGTTTACTGAAGTTTACTTCGAGTCTTAATTGTCTACATAAGTGTATTGAAGAGCAATATGATTAGATTATTTCTTAATAGATATCTTTTTTTTGTAATTTTAAAATGCTGTTACACAGCATTAAGTTATAGAAACTAGTGTATAAACATGTTGCTTGAGCAAGAACAAGTACAATACAGGGTGTATATTTATTTTTCTGTGTTATAAAATTTATGTTTAGTTGCTCTTCTGGAGACTATAGGTAACAAATATGTATATACTGTATAATTTGCAATATACCCAGGAACTGATTTAAGTTAGAGCTGTGTGTGTGTGTGCGTGTGTGTGTGTCTGCTTGCACATGTGTGTATTACCATTCTGCTTGCATTTTAGTAGCGTTTTAATTTTAGCAACATATAGGAATGACTGTTTCAGAGTGTTATACAAGTAGGAGAAATAGGGAAGCAGTAAAACAAAATTTAACACAAGCATGTGTCTCTTTTCCTCTCATGTGTCCAAAAGCTACTAATCTCTTTGTTCACTAACAGGAAATGTGTATAAGATTAAATCCCCTTTGACTTCTTAAAAACACTTCGTGATGTCTGTGACAATGCAGTTCTTCTAGCCATTAATCTTGCACCCCTGTAAGAAATTTCACCTTTCTGAGTCCCAGGAAATATCTTGTCAAGCAAAGTTGACACCAAAGGGCACATCTTCAGCAGGATGTAGGAGGATTTAACTGTGCAGACTTCTGTCAATGTTGTTAAATCCAGGCACATAGCACTAAGCATCACTCTTAAGTGTTAATACTTTACAACCATTCCTATTTTGAGTCAGTTCTAGAAATTTTGATACTAAGGCAGAAATGGAATGATGAAAGATATATACATATATATGTGCACATACTTTTTTCCTCCTGAATTTCAAGACTTGACCAGTTTTATTTGTTAATTCATTTGATAATTTCATTTTATATTCAGTTACTTTGCGTTGAATTTATTTGGATGAACCAATACAAAGTATTACTTAATTGAACTTATTAAGGGATATAAGGTATGTCCTATGTATGCTTTATATACCACACATGGTGAAGATTGATGTTTGTAGTACAAATTATGCAGTTTATTAGAAATTACAGAAAACTGAGCTCCTGAAATAACCAATTTTTTTGTATTAATAGACTTTATAAAAATCACGGAATGTCATATGCTTATTCAGAAAGCAGAGCATTTAAATAAGATATAGCCTACTCATGATGATGAAAGGCAGTAGGACAGTATCTCAGAGTAGCCTGGATTAGTGAAATCCATGGGAAATATAGCTGTTATATTAGTGATACTCATTTTCCAAAGTACTTGTTTTACTTCAATGTTAGCATATCCAAGAATAAACTTTTGGGAAATAGCTTCATTCCCTTCTGCCCACCCTTTGCTTAAGCAGGAAAGTAGCTCTTTGCTAAAGAATAAGGAAAATCCAAAATAGTAACAAAAAAACAGTCTAAAGAATATTCAAATGATATATTGAGTTCTGTCTAATAATAAGGGCTATAAACTACCATGGGTCCACACAAACTATGCTTCAAGTATGATCTATTAGTTTAGTGAAATTTCCAAAGAAAGTTGAGGAAGATGGATTTAATATTGTCTTGATAAAATCACAAGTAAAAAGGCATCACCAGGGTTAAAGAGGCACTTGTTCATCTTAATAAACATAAAATTGATGAAACTAGTTACTTTTGTACAAGATAATTGGAGATTATGTTACACTTGATTGAATTTTGTAGAAGTATTTCAATCTAAGTGATAAAGTAACAATTGAGAAACTTCAAAATGAAAAATAGACTTACTGATTTAAAAGGAAAACTACCATATGTTTTAGAGCTGGTGGATTAGCCACAGTTGCTTAAGACATAACAAAGATATTTTCCAAATTGTTTTCCAACCTTGCACATTCAAATATAATTGGGAGGTAGGGTGGAGTATATCTAAGTGACTAGTATTTTAAGTTACAACATAGATGTAATTTATTTGCCTCCTTTGCAATCTTGGTACACATTTTGGAAAGTAAATTGAAAGGAAAATTAAATAGCCTCATAGCATTCCTTGATAATTCAATTTGGTTGAGAATTCCTTAGGTATGTCAATATGATTTTATGATGAATAAAAAGACTTTCAAATAAATGTACTCTCTGCAAAAAAATAAATAAATAAGAGGAAAAATGCCTTTCTAAAATATTTGTTCACCCCTGGGTATGTCACCAATTGGAAAGTGCTGATCTCATCTACAAATGTGAGAAATGAAACAAGGAGAGGAAACAGCTCTTATGAAATGCAGTGAGATCAGGGTCCAGGGCATGGTTTGACAAATTTCCATTGTGTGATTTCATATTCTATTGGTTCATTTTGTCAACCACCAGACTACCAAAAATAAAGCAAAGACTAGATCATTTTGGCACATATAATAGATCTGTCAAATAATATGATGTTGTTGTAACTGTCAGTAGTAATATCTTGAGAGGCATGCATCTTTCTCCATATTGGACTTTGAAAAATTGGTATAGGGAGTAATTTTCAACTTACTGATTCCTACTGAAATAATTTAATTACTACTTTTACCAATCATAAGTTGTTTCTAATCTTGCCATTTGATCACATATACAATTATATACAATCAGTTGTTCTTTTTGAGATGTATTATTTATATGTAAAAATGTAAAGATTTTGATTTTCCCATTTAAAAAAATTGTAACGTGCATGGTCTTTTATTGTTTGTATTTTAATCACCAAGTCAGTGTTCTAAAGTTGTAAGATTACTATAAAAATTGTATTCCAATATTTTATTTAAACTTAAGTGTGGCCAGCATTATTAGTTTCAGAGTTGCCTAAACAATACAGAAGATATTTAACTCAGTTTGTAAGAAAGTTTTGATCAGTGTGCAATGATGAAGACACAGTTTGATGTCTCAAGTTTAAAATGGAAATTTGTATCAGTTAAAATGGAAATGAATATGTGTTTGCATGTCTACTATTTAATCTCTATGTGAAAGTAAAAGATTTTTTTGACACCATTCTTTTTCCCATTTAAAGTGGGTTCTGGAAGCACAAGCAGAGATATTTTCTTTTGGAAGACATATTTGACTATAATGGTGCATTGGATGGGAAACATTTAAATGTTAGAAATTTACTAGATGTATGATGTTGCATAGTATAATAAGATCCCCTTTTTTTTTTTTTCATTTTGTTCTTTCTAAAAATAAGAAAAAAAAGAAAGCTAAGTGTGATAGTGAACTGTCTTTGATTCTGTCCTGGCAGATGTTTAACTTCACAGTAAATAAAAGTAGATAGTACAATAAATATGATGATGATGACAATGAATAAAGAGAATCAAAATACTAGCTTTATTTGAAATTAATAACTAGAATAAGTCATTTTTTTCAACTCTGCAGCACAGCTGGTTACATTGAACATTTTTCTCTATTATACTGTTAATTATATAGTAATGTATCAAAAGAGAAATAGATAAGAACTTTCTTTTTAATTTTTGTTCCTTTATGAAGAAGTCTTTTCACACATAAATGATTGAATGTTCTTGTTCAGAATGACCACATAATTATTGCTTAGAAGAAGGCACCAATTCTTTAAAAAGAAAAAAAAATCTGTTTATAAGAAACTAAATCAAATGTTTGTTTCTTTTAAATGTTAATGAAAAAGATTGAAGGTGGTGGCAAAATGTCATGTTAATTCAGGCTGGGGGCTGTATTTACAGTAGAAGTTTCAGTGGTCAACATATATGTGACTCTTTAGACTGCTGCAGTTTTACAGTTAATTATTGAAAAGTTTGTAAATGACATTTATGCTAGTCTAAGAATACTTAGACTTAGTCATTTGTTAATATGTTTATCAAAATCTTTTAGTTTCAGTCAGATCAGAAGCAGCTATATAATCTATCTTATTCTATGATAGACATCAGGATCTCTTAAGTCCCTGCCTCAGAGTTAATTCAAGGAAGGATTAGTATTTCTGTATTTTTTTTCCATTTTGAAGCTCTGTGTGCATTTGGTTTGTGTACATGTTTTTGTAGTGTAAGATATGAAATTTTCTATTTTTTCAGAAAATAAAAAACCCTTTGAATACAGTTAAATCCGATTGTCATACTTGACCCTCCCCCAAGACTTTAAACTTACAGCCTTTGTATAATGATTTCAGCTAGTTCTAATAAAAAAAAAAAATGTTTGTATTTTTAATGCTAAATATTTTAAAAGCCATCAGCATCCATTTTCCTCAAAGACAGACTCAGGAGTCTACATTAGAATAATTTTTGTATATAGAGATTGACACTGAGATTGTAGAACATGAGCATTCCTATGTCAAAATCTAATTTGAAGTTATTTGTGACAATGTAATAGTGTATTACTTGGAAAAAAGCAAACAGAAAACCATGCGCACCATCTGCAAAAGGAGACTTTGACTGACCAGCATCAGCCTATGACCTTCTCGTCACCACGCATCTGCTTGTGGCACAGGGCAGAAGAGTCGCATTATCACAAGAAGAGATGTCATTATGTAAAAACTCTAATATTGCTGTATCATGTTGCTGTCTTTTTGTAAACAGCATAGCGAACAATCTGCTATATTCAAGGAAATGAATTATGTCTGTAGTTTTTGCATTTATATCATAAAAAAGTCACATCACCATGCCTATGGAAATAATCCATAACTCCTTTGCTCAACCATAAAATCACCATTACAAGGTATATTATTTAGTGTTCTAGTAGATTTTCTCATATAAAGAATTCTGTGTTCTTTGTCACTAAGTAGACTATTTTTGTCCCTCTTTTGCTACATAACTAAAGATTCTAGGAAAAAGAATTTTCTCAGTCCTACAGTTATTATTGAATAGGTAGGAGGGATTGGAGGTGGTTAGTATAAAAGTTAATATTTAATGAGAATGTACCACACTGCATTAGAAGTTTTCACTCCTACCTTTGAGATAGTTACTGCTTCCATTTTCTTGATGAGGAAATAATGACTGTTAAGAAATTGCCTAAGGTCTGACTGTTCTTCAAAGGTAGGGTAAAATCCACATTTATTTGAAACCAAACTTATGAACTTTCTGTCACCTTATTCTGTTGACTATGCTATTGAGATAACATAATCATTTATGCCAATCTTCTGATTTAATGGACATAAGAACTGAGGATCATCAGGAAAAAATGAATTGCACATTTTCACCTAGCAAAATGTAACCCTTGGGTGAAAATCAGGGTCTGACCAGTTGTACCTCTAACATGTTCAGTTTTTGGAATGAACCAAATGTTGGTAATCAAAAATAGTTTTTCTTATTTGTTGTTCTGTCCCTGGGTAGCAGTACAATCTCATTCAGGATGCTTTTCTAGTATAGATCATATTTATTTGCAACTACAAGTCAGAGAATTGCAACAAAACTTATTCCCAGGTACAATATCTGAACTTCACTTAGAGAATTTTAAAGTCTACAGGCAATTCACTATCAAGTTATAACCAAGCCAGAAGTAAAATAAAGAAGTAGATACTTGTGGAAGTCCACATTAGCCATTCAAACCAGCCAGCATTGTGTATAATATATTAAATCTAATTTTACCTGACTTTAGCAGACTAAAACACAATAAACTATATGAAAACTGACAGAAGTACTGAAATATGGATAAATGCTTTTTCACAGCAAGAGTTACTTGCTCTTAAATTATCCTTCTAATTGCTAAAAAAAAAAGTTGATTATGAAAAAATATAAAGAAGTTACCATGATTATTTTCAATTTGACTGTTCTAAGTGATCCTAAATTTCCAAAAAGTAAAAGTCAAGGCCAGGCGTGTTGGCTCACACCTAAAATCTCAGGACTTTGGGAGGCTGGGGCGGGAGGATTGCTTGAGCCTAGGAGTTGGAGGTTGAAGGGAGCTATGATCATGCCACTATACTCAGCCTGGGCACTGGAGTGAAACCTTGTCTCTAAATAAATATTCTTAAAAAAATAGTTAAGAATAATATACAATATAGTGATATTGGATTTCTACACAAAAGGAAAAAACTCCCTTATTCATTAGCATTATTATGATGATAATAAAATTCAACATCCAAGTTAAAGATGACTTTGAAATAAGTGATGGGGAAAAGACTCTTTAAAATTAAATATTTTATGTATGTGGCAAGTTACTTCCATGAAATAAAATATATGTACCATGAATAAACAATTTTAATTAGTATTACTTACTAATTCAAAGAGATTTTGCAAGTGTTCAAGGTTCTGTCTAGGCACAACTATTTCCTCAGTTATCTGACAAGTAGAAATTTGCTGTGTTTTTTCCTAAAATCATAGTTTTTTCTACTGCTACCTTACTAAAAACTATCTAGCATTTTAGCTGGCCTACCTTTGAACGGGGTATCACGTGGTGCAGTTTTAGAATTTGAAAGGAGATTACATTGGTGGTAGTAAATAGTTGAGCCCTTACTGTCAGAACGTGCCTTTGGGTGTGTTTTCAATGTTGCAGAGGTGCGGTTCCTGGTGTGATGTGAAGTTTCATGTTTTTTTTGCCGTTGACTTGTGGAAGATCATGTGCATTCGTTTTGTTATCCATTTCTCATGGACACTTACATGCTCCGTTTTGCTATCTCAGTGGCTGCCTTTTTTCGTGGAAGCGTTTATGGATAATGCGTCACCAGCATATTATCTTCCCCTCACTCCATCTTGTTTATTCTGCTGCTTGCTTGGTAGACTCTCAATTTTAAAACAAGCCTTCACCTCAGGAAAATTCCCTTCTATTTTTCTATTATCTTCTCCTTCCATTGCTGGGTGTCTCCAGTGGTGCGTAACTGTCTAAGCTAAGTTAATCTCGTAAATATATGTCTTCTGTATCTTTAACCATCTGTTTTTTTTTTTTTTTTTTTGGTTCTATCCTCTGGAAGATTCTCTTGACACAATATTCCACATTATTTATACCATCTTCAGATCTGTCTGCTTTATTCTTCAAATAACCCCAGGATTAAAATAAAAATGGTCAGGTATTGCCTGAAAATTCTACCCCAAACATAGGACTCTCTTTTGGGTTTCATATATGTATATGTAATTTTACTTGTGACATAACCTTTTTGATATATCACAGACATTTCAAACTTAACATGTCCAAGTTTGAAAGCTATACAAGGGTAGATATTATGGATTAATAAGTTGTTAATACTTCTTCAATGATAGCTAAAAAATTTACATATGTTATTTCTGCATATCCATGATTGTAAGCTAGTATCACCTCTTGTCTGAAATACTGTGTGAGTGTTATAGTGGCTCCCTCTAATTATTAATTGCCCCCTTCAATATATATTTTACATATCTGATTATGTCATTCTCATGCCTGAAATCCTTAGACCCCCAAACCAGTTAAATTGTAATTCTTCCTAAGGCTATGAATATCTGTCTAGCCAAAACATTGTAGATATTCTCTAGCTACCTCTAAAGTCACAAGGTTTACCTTGCCTCTCAGCCATTATATGTGCTGATTCCTATGCCTAAAATATTTTCCCTCCAAATCTTTTCTTCACTAATCCCTTATGCTTCAAATACTAGTTTACTTTCTGGGTATATCATTCTCAGTACTTACAGTAAACAGAATAGCACACTCCAACTAGGTTATTTGAGGCAAGTTTGATAAAGGGACTATTTACAAAGGTGTGGGCAGTTTTAGGGAATCAGTAATAGATAGTGGAGGGCCTCAGGGTTAGGGAAAGATCATGCCTCTCTCTTGTCCTGAAGGAAAAAAGGAGCTGTTATAGAACTCATGGAGGGTTAAACTATAGAAAGGACACTTTGAAAGGAGCTGAGGCCTTTACTACTGGGACAAGGCAAATAACTGCAACCTAGCAAAAGAGAAAGCAGAGGAAGATCTCACCTTCACACCTTTCTTGCCCGCCAAGTTCCTAATGGTGCAATACATTGGCCAAACCCAACATGATGACATAAGCCAAGGGAGCTCACTGGTGCCATCACAGACATCAGCCTCACTGGGAAGAGAGTGTGGAGAATGGATTGGGAGAGACAGATGGAACTGGAGATAATTTTTCTTTTACCTCTAAGACATTTGGGTTTGTCTTCTTTTTATTTTTTCACATTAAAAACATAAGTCTCTTTTCTAGAACTTATCAAAGCAATATTAAATATTTATTAGGGTAATTATTTTGTAATATCATCTCCCATTAGGCTATAAGTTCCATGGGGGCAGAGAGAGTGTTCGTTTTATTTACTATTTAACACTGGCACATGGCTCAGTGACTGGCAGAAAACACGTATTTCATAAATTATTATTCATTCATTGTTATCTTTTCATGAGTCATAAAATTAAAAATCCTAGTCACCTAGGTAAACTCTGAATACTTATCTATCAATATATTTTATAATTTATAAATAAATTTTAAAGGCAGCCTGAAGAATATGCTTCTTTTTCCTCTTTTTTTAAAGAAATACTTCAGTATCATTTCTATGATTCATACAGTAGCTGAAATGAAATAAAAATCTCAAAATATGCTGATGAAAATTCTTGATCATGAGCAACATGCATTTTCATCCATATATTTAAGTCATGCAAGCAAGCAATCAATTTTTAAAACTCAAACACTTGAAGAATAGAGTATATGAGTGAGACTCTGACCAAGAGCATCAGTTTTCCTTATTCAGCAAAGCAAATATGGCCACCACCAGGGTGACCTATTAATATTATCAAGTTCACAATATGGGAAGAATCTATCCATTAGGAGAACATGATCTCCTTCCTAGAATTGCGAAGTTAAGTTTCAACTCTGATATGGTTTACATATTCTAAATTCATTGAAGAAGGTCCATTTTAGGAGTTATCTATGAAAAATCCTTCTCAGACCATAAACTCTTGGTGAAGATCAGGAACCCTCTGTCTACTTAAAGGTGGCAAGAAATTATATCCCTGATTTGTCATGTGGTTTAATAGAAGAGCACCTAATGTGTACCTCTTGCTATATTTGCTGAAATAGATAATATTACTTTTTTTCCCACTGATTGTCAGCTTGTGCCTTATTGTCCTTTTTTGTCACACTCCCTTCCAAGAGAGAGAAAAGAAACGTTTTTTAAATTAATAGAGAAAAGTA